TATATATATATATATATATATATATATATATATATACACATTTTAAACATGTTTGGTTGAATAATATCAACATGGTCTGTCTATCAATTTTTATTATATATGTATATCTGTATGTATATATGAACAAAAAACTAAATGAAAACCTTTTCCACTTTGCCATTATTTTTACCCTAATATATATATATATATATATATATATATATATATATAGTTTTGTTGGTCTCTCTCTCTCTCTCTATATATATATATATATATATATATATATATATATATATATATATATATATATATATATATATATATATATATATATATACACACAGAGGGTGTGGTGGGTAAATTTTCGCCATTTTATATTTTTAGTTTCGCGCATGCGCGTTGTTGTTTTTTATTTTGTCGACTGCACAGTATAGTAGGGTTTGTTGGGCATTGTCTGTGAGAAAAAGAGTCCCATGATGCAATTCAGTCTGCCAGAGATTTGGAAAAGGCATGCTGTACTGTTTGGTATTCGCGCCGGAAGTTCAAATAGGAACATTTCAGACCGTTTGGGTGTCACTCTGAGAACAGTTCAGAGGATTCGGAAATAGTTGGATGAGTCTAATGGTGATAACGACGGTGTTTGGAGTCGTCACTAGCGATGTCAACGTTATGCCTACATCCATCTTCTCACAGGGCCTCAGAATTAACATGGAGGCCGACATCACATGCCTTGCGGAGGTACTGATGACTTGGGTCAAGAGGGTGGCTGTTGGAAGAGCCTATGTCTGGCAACAGGACTCTGTACCATGCCACACAAGCTTAACTTAAATAAGGAAAACATCCAAAATATTTGCAGGAGATTCCGAAGTTATCTGGAGGCTGTGTTGCTCATCCAAAAAAGAAACTTGTCTTCTCCCGCGAACGACTATAACGCAGAACCGTTTCTATTTCACATGCTAAAACTCCAGGGATAAAACTACATTTTACATTCCTATGTGGTGTTCTATTAAGTCTGAGCATAGCTTAGTCCTCTTCAAGAAATTCCCAGAATCCCTTCTCAGAATCTTTATGAGACCTGGCTCGAAAATTAACCAAAATCTAGTATTTGTATATAGGGGGTGCATCCTCCGAGGCTACCCTACTTCATTGCACAAAGGGGTACGTCAGGTCCGGGTCAGTTTTCTGAAGTCTGAAGCGTCGTCAAAAGGGAATTGATGAGAAAATTGGAAAAATTTTGGTACTACTCGAATGTGCATAAGTTAACTGCTTCAAGAAAATCCCAACTTATACGCATTCGTCAGACCATATAAGCATAGAACAGACTGTCGCTGCTGGGTGTTGACCTCAATGTCCACTTTTATATTTACATACGGTGTATCCCTGATATTGAGCACTTTAACCCACAAATATATCATACCTTAAAACTATATTTTATCATATATATATATATATATATATATATATATATATATATATATATATATATATATACCTGTATCCTTGAAACAGTGAATTATGAATTTTCCGTGCCTTTCAAACTCAGTAAATTAAAAAATAAGTTACTCCAAAATTCGCTTGAGGATGAAATGGAAATTAAATTCGAAGCTTTAAGCTTCCATTTTTGAAACATGGTCATTACTGTGTAAAAAAACATATTTTAAATCAGTTAATTTAAATCAGTAAATTTACATTGAGCACTATTTTGTAAAAATAAAAATATCAATAAGAACACCGGATTATATATCTTACTATTCTTTCGTTATATATATATATATATATATATATATATATATATATATATATATATATTTATATTTGGCATTTTGCAATCTCTTTCTTATAAATGTTTCGTTAAAAAGCACACTACGTATAGACACATCGGCATAAATAATACACACACACGCATTCAATACGAAAGTACACAGAAGCAGGCACTAGATTTTGTAATTTTGCCGCAGATGTCTCAAATCTACGAAATCAAGACCGTCACTGAATTTTCTCTCAACCAAGGAAATCACCCTTCACTTTTTTTTTTTGAAGGGACCAAGTAATGGGTTCGTTCACAAAATTAACTTATCTTTAACTAAGCTTACTTGTTTCTATGATGCGTTTGAAATGGCGTCTCCAGTCGAAGTAAATATCTTCTTGTTGTTATGGTCATTTAAATTACAGGTAGATGGCATATATTGATTTTTTTTTGTGAGATACGATATCAGTTGGGTTTTCGATCACATTCATAAGACTTACGCTTTTATAGCAACATAAATTATTTTTTTTGTAATTTTTTTTTTACCAACGCTCACCTAATAAAAGGCCACTAGCCATTCATGATATAGTGTTATTGGAGGCGGTTGTTGTGTGACCGGTAAGATTAAGTGGCGTAGTGTATGCGGATATGTTGGAAAGATAAAGATTAACACTAGACTTAAAGAGGTTGAGAGTTTAGTAGTCGGGAAAGCAGTCTCTTTGGAAACTGTTCCACAGAATCGTTCACCCAATATACGAAACATAAGACAAAGAGGTAAGAAGTGCAGTTTAAGAAGACACGCTGAAAAGATAAGGGTTAAGATTAGTTTAATTTTATAGTGATCAGTGAAGCATCCTCTTGGGAGTCCGTTCAACGAAGCAGTGGTTCTTGGGAAGAAGCTGTCCGAATGGAACTTTACTAATGGAATACAAAGGGAATAGAGATGATTCATTCCAGTGGAAATGGCATGGCAGATCTTAGCTGCAAAGGTCAGGGCTACTTGAAGCAAATAATCTAGCTCGTCAGAACATTTGCTATGGAAATAGCGATAGAAGAGCAAGAGAACTGCGTCCTTTTGTCTGTGGGAAAAGAGTTCTAGGGTGGAAAATAATTTAACTACAAAGTCGTGAAGACTCCTCTACACTCTATCAAAGACAAGTGAGTTCCACTTCAGATATAGCAGCAGATTTGCATTTTTGGTCTGATCTGGCTCTTGTAACAATAGAGCACGGCAAGGAGAATCAGACACTTACTGGAGTGGTACGACGGGACGAACATTTTTTCCCTAGCATCTTTAGCGATGTGTTGGTGTTAGGATTCATCAGTCTTCAATAATTATGAATAAAGCTGCAATCTCTGAAATTTTTATGGAAATCTTGTGTAAATTCTTTTCACAAATAATTAAATAATGGATTTGAAAGAATGCGAGGTTATTGACCAAAATAAAAAAAATTATTTTAATACCAAACAATAATATAAAAAAAAAACATCAAGCAAACATTTAACATGGAACAAAATTATTGGTCCTCTTGTTTCAATAATCAACCGTGGAATCTTTTTTCTCGATTATTGCTTTTAAGCGTTTTTGATTGTTACTCATAATCTAACGTACGGACAGGTATTTTGCTTCATTCTGCTTTGTTAATAGCTTCTAGTCCTTCCAAATTAGAAGGGTTTCTGTCTCCCACGTTTTTCTTCAAATAGCCTCATATCCTTTCAATGAGGCTTAGATCAGGACTTTATACAAGGTATGCCAATACCATAATTTTACTGCCATCGAAGTATTTCATAAGAATTAGTGCCATGAGTTTCGGGTCGTTGTCACGTTGGAATGTCCAGTGACGCCCTAAAGACAGCTTTTGCGCAGTTCGTTTTATATTATTTTTTTTTAAATACCAAAATACTGCTCTTTATCCATCCTGTTTCAGAAGAAACGAAGCATAATGCTCCTGTCAACGTGCTTAATTGCAGAGTGGGGTATTTTTTGGTTTGTGAGTTTCATTCAATTTCCTCCATACACACCGGGAGTTCATGTGGCCAAATAATTCCAGTTTGGTCTCATCTTAATATACAACAGAGATCCGCTATTTCTCCCCATGCTCTGCATGGCTTCTGGCATAGGCTTTTCTGCTTTTATGTGTTTAGTCATTTGACAATACGCTCGAAGTCCTTCTCGATGAAGACATCTACTAACTGTTTTGTCAGTACATTCAACCCTGCATTGGCAAGGTCTTTTACCGTTAAATGAATATTCTTCAAGAATCTCTAACAATTTTATTTTTCATTCTCTCAGAAATTAACCATTTTCAGTTCTTAACTTATTGCCAGTCCTTAATGTATTCTAAACAAAATTGGTCTCATTGTACTTCTTGATAATTTTTGTCGATCTAAGAACATTGGTAACGCTTGGAAAGTGCTGTATATCCATTACCTTGCTTGTACGCACCAACCATCTTCATTCAGAGTTTATGCTTGTCATGGTTGCGGAACGTTGCACTCATATATTTTCTTCTTTAGAACCTTCTAGAATGTTATAGAATTAGGTCAATATTATTTCATTTTCTAAGGAAGCTTGTATTAAATGTCAAATTAAGAAAAAAACAAAACCATTACAATTGCCATAGATCAATATTATTTCATAATTTCTATAAGGAAGGGAAGACTTTGTGAATTGCCGATCTGACTTCCCGCTCTTTGGTTTTGATGACACTCAGGGTAAGAGAAGGAAAACTGAATTGAAATCGTTTGAACGTCCACGTCTCTTGAAGTGCGAAAAGAACACCTCTTGCATTGAAGGTTGATCTATCTACTCACTTGCAAGGGATCCTCCACTAGCCGACCTTGCTGATGAATCTTAGATGAGATATCTAGAGGAGGGATCTAGACCTACAAAACATTTTACTCCCAGATCATAAATCACTTATGTAGACGCTGTTCCTAAAACAAAAAAAAAAAAAAAAAAAAAAAACAAAAACATAATCCATTAGGGTGGACAGCAATACAACAGTATGTAATCTCCTTTGCTAAATTGAAGTATATTGATTCATTCACTTTCTACGGCTTGTCAAAGCTAGAAAATACTTTTAGATTGTAAGAATTTTTTGTAGATAATAATGGTTTAGTCTTACTAATTAATCCATAGCTTGGGGGAGAAAAGGTGGATTTATACCGCAAGGGTATTTGCGCGTAAGTGAATATAACGAACCCAACGGGAATTGGAACTCGGCTCATCGATTAACAATTCCGAGCCATTATCCATTAGACCACTCGCAAATTACCTGGTATTCTCAAGCGGTCACCCATCAAGGTACTGATCGGGCTCGTCGTTGCTTAAGTTCGGTGATCGTATGGGAACTTGTGTTTCAACGTAATGTGGCCGTAAACCTTAAGTATAATAATAGAACATAAGTAAGCAATTGCACTGGGGGGGGGTAATTACTTTGAGAGATGCAGGGAACGTTGGAACTGAATTCCGAAGGAAAACTTCAAAGAATTACGAGTTGATACTAAAACACCAGTAAAACTTTGAAACTTAGATAAAGTGTGCATGCGCGCGCACATGCGCAGCGTAGTTACAGCAATAGTGATAAAATGTCTAAAACTAACAATGTTGAAATGAGCACGTTTATTTTTACTCCTTCTGTTAATTGTCATTTAGGATGAAGGCACCACATTCGAGTTTGTTACTTCTGCTTTGTTTTGTAGGCAGAATGAAAAGTTACATCAGCTTCTCGGTGGTTGTTGTTTTTATAGAATCAGAATAGCGAAAGTGATGATAGTGGGGTGTAGATTTTGTACAAAATATTCCGTTCCTTAATATTGATGATGAGTGAGATAAACTGTAACACTACAAGATGGATCCCCTGACAGACTTGACTGAAGAAATAAAACCTTATACCCACTATAGATTTACAAGAAAAAATAGAAAAGTTAAATTAATGGAAAAGATCTATTTAATTAAATAAGAAATTATCTTAAAATAATTGCAGTAAAAACTTAACATACGACAGAGTTCGATGCCTACCTGTCGATTTATTTGAAGAGAAATTCAATTCTGGTGGAATTTTGAATGTGGCGACGAAATTGTGGCAGATGACATGTATTCATGGCTAGAGAAGGCGAGCTCCTGATGTATCCGATATAAATAGCGGGGATTTGTCAACGAAGTGGCAGTTGCTGAAGTACTCTCTGTGAGGACGCTAGTCGACATCACATTAGCATGAACGAACATAGACAACTACTTCCGTTTCCTAAATCAGAGATGAACCGGACTTCCGTAAAGAGCTGGCAGACAAGAAGCAGCCGAAACGAAGAACAATTACAAGCTTGGAATAGTATTAACAGATCGACCAACGCCACAGGAGCTTGCCAGAGAAACAAGCGAAGTGATTGGCTTGCGTAAAACAGCGAGAGAGTCGCTCAAGATCCTGATTACCGAACTCCATATTCGCTGGCTAAGATATGAGGTTCACCTCATTAGCGGTGCGTTAATCGGAATGTATACTCGCAGGTAGGAACGCCGAGAAATATCAGGTCCGTGTAAGTAGAGTTCAGTACTGACTGAACCCCTCAACTAACTGAGCATGTAGTACTAAGGCTTTCCGCTATTAAAATATAGATATGACTCTGCTTTATGACTAATCTAATTAGTGAACAAGGGTAAAGGCTATAGGTGAAGAAGGTGAAACCAATAAACACAAATTATTCAGTTGTATTCACTTTTGCACAAATGGCTTTGGGAAAGATATGAATTTATTTTTCCCCATTCAGCTATTGGTCAAATAACTAGTTATTGACCAGTCTAGGAGAAAGACAGCTCTGAATTCCAATCCGTGGAAACTATTTCTCAAGAAAGCATTTCAATTCACAGATAGTAAAGACAAAGATCTTTCGAGAGCCATGACCGCCTACATCCTGAAAGGGACATAGCATTGATACCCCTCCCCACTAAAAACCCCCCCAAAAAACAGGATTTCCTGTTTCTTCTTCTAGTTATCATCCTTGTTGGTTGAGGACGGTCTCATTCTTGAATTACATGTGGGTGCGCGCGTCAGTAAAGTGTCACTGATGTCTTGTTAGCTTTCAAACATTCCTGATATAGCTTTGCTCGTATTGATGTTCACCCCGTATAAAACTCAAGAAACACTCTAGTTAGGAGGTACAGAGTAGGTGGCACCACCCCAAGCAAGATGGCACCACCTACTCTATACCTCCTAACTAGAGTGGCTCCACCCCCAAGCAAGGTGGAACCACCCCAACATCTTTAGCGATGGATCATATGTACGCATGCCACTTGAGGTCAGGTGTGAGTTTAAGGCACAATAGTATCTCAAGGCACGAATCTTCCCGGAGGGGGCATCTGTTCATCGTGACTGAGGGTAGATCAGGGTCCGATCAGCGAGGATAGAACGTAACTAGTTTGGTTTTTGAGACATTGAATGTAATCAGCCCCACTGAGAAATTAGTGCTAGATCGGATAAGAGATCATCAGCCAATCTCGGATCATCAAGAATTTTAGATGTGCACCCGTATATTGAAGTATCATCGGCATAGATGTTTACAAATGATCTGAGTATATCCTTAGACAGATCATTTATGGAGATCAAAAGGAGGGTTGGTCCCAGAAGTGACCTCTGGTGAACGTCTGTGTTGACACCCAGGTCCCCGGAAGACTAGCCATTAATAATTACCTTGAGGGACCTACCTTTTAGGAAGGCTTTTATAATTGAGAAGACCCTTTCATTGATACCATAGTTGGAGAGCTTGAGTAGCAAAACTATGTGTTTCACCCTGTCAAAGTATATACTCCTCGTGGTGTATTCGTCGTCAAGAGCCTCACTAATTCTGTGACCAGTCGATCGGGCCGATCAAAACCCGTACTGCACGTCGCTGAAGAGGGTGTTGTTCTCTAGGTGCCCGACGACATTCTTGTTGATTATAGCCTCAAAAAGCTTACTGATGGGTCTATACTGTGAGGGGTGAAAGTCGTTCGCCCGAGTTATTGAAGACCCGGACATATACTTGACTCCTTTTACAGGCTTGGAAATAATATCGCCTTTAAGCAGCGGTTGAACAAATTCACTAGGGTCAGGGAAAATTCCGGGTTGATATTCTTAAGGACAACCATTTGAATTTTGTTTGGACCAGCGGCTTTCTGTCGCATTTGATATCACATGTACATCATTCATTATATCGATTTTTCCGCTAACTTAATTTATCCGAGAACAGAACTCATGACTTACAGGGAACTAGACGAGTTTTCTCAGTGGGTTTATAAATTGGGACACTGAGGTAGTGATTTCTTGAAGTTGAAATTATTTCTTTCTTTCTGAATTTGTCTCTCTTACAGAGCGATCTGTGCTTGGCTTACTAAGAAATCATTAACTGAGTGATAGGTTGAGGAATGAAAGCGACACAGCCTCGAGGAATAAATAAATAAACCGTTTCTTTCAACATGCCTTAAAGTATTAATTTCTATTGAGTAAGAGTAAATGTTCATCCTTGTTTCCTGTTCAGGATATGGTTTACCGGTTCTCTTTTTTATTTAAATGTCTGAACTTTTTGTTGGTCGGACAAACTAGTATTTGTGACTTTCGATTGTGTGTGTACCGGGTTGGCAATTTGTTGGCTGCTGTTTCCGACTGGTCGTTAGGAGCCCGAACACTTTGGTAGCGCTTAGGCTGCTCTGATCAACAGACGAATATTACCAGGGTATTTGTAGTGACATGTCGTGCATGGGTGAGTGTCCTTGCATGTATTTTCAGTGGGCAGCCCTGAGGCCACACCATGCTCTGTTCTCAGTCATGCTCTGGCTGGTTTGTATTACCAGTGACGACGGATAGTTACAGTGGTCATTTCCCTCTCTCCTGAAAACGAATTTCATGGAAAACACAACAAAGAGAAATACAACTAAACCCGTAAACAAAAAAATCACCTACCCGACTCAGCCTTTCTTTCACTAATATTCGTGATATCCGTTCCAGCTTTTGCAGCGTAGAATTTTTCCTCTTGGAAAAGTCGCCAGATATCTTTGCCTTTGTGAAACTAACTTAAATTCTTCTCTTGCTATCAATGAATTCTTGGTGCCAGTCTATCTTTCCCTTTGCCGAAAAGATTTCAACATTCACATGAATGACCTTGGTGTTTATATCATGGATAATCTTCCGATGACCAGGGAATTGTCTCTCGAGGCCCCAGACTACTCCTTCATGTGCTTCCGTCTTTCGTTACTAACCCTGTTAGCTATCTCTTTTTCCTCTATCGCTCCCATTTTCCCAGGACTGCAGCATATAACACATAATTACTGATAGTACAGAAAAGGCACTTTCCCTCCCCCATCTGCGAACATCTTTGTCTTTGGTGACTTTAATACTCACTGAAACACCTAGCTTAAACATTCTAAAGCGACTGATGTTGCCGGTGTTCAGACATTAAATCTTTTCATTGCCTAACACCTTATTCAAATCGCGGACCTAGCAACATGCTTCTCTATTTGATTTATTTCTTACTTCCTCTTCTGGCTCTTACCGAGCTTTGCAATACTGACCTCTTGGTAATTCTGACCAAGCTGTGGCAGCTATTGATAATTCTTTCCAATCACCTATTAAACAGTAACCCTCTATCGACAAGACCTCTTTCTGTTTCTAGCATGTTGATTGGGACTCACTCCGTGACGCCACTTGGACTGACATCTTTAAACTCCTAATTGTGCCACTGAGGTTTCTTCTTGGGTCAAAGCCAACATAGAAGCTTTCATCCCTTCTTGGAAATACCAATAAAACCTCAATTCTCTCCATGGTTCACACCGGCATGCTCTGCCGGTATAGCATACAGGAACAACTATTTTCAGCTCTACTAGTGTGACAGCCCTTTCAAGAGGCGTCTACACGTTGCTGCTCGCAATAAATGTAAGCGAGTCCTCGAAGGAGCAAAGTTTCTGTTTGCCGAGAGAATGAATGCCTGTAAATTCTCCTTAAACTCTACTCTTGAGTCATCCAGAATATCCCTGCCTAACTTCCCTGCTAGAACTGAGACTCTGTTGAGTTGTATCCATATAACCTCTTCCAGGGTTTCTACTGTCATTTCTATGCTAGATCCCCTCGATGGTATCCATATAATAGTCTCCTGTTCTCCCTAAACTGTATACCTCGCTCCCTTCTGCTTTTCTGCCTACTGAAAGTCATTATCTGTTGTTCCACTTTGTAAGAACTCTGGTGAACCGTTCGAACCTTCCAGCCATCAGTCTATTATCTTTCTACTTTTTGAGGGGTAACTCCTAGAGGTCCTAATCAATTCTGAATTGGTTCATCATCTGTTATCGTAGGGCCTTTTATCAAACAAACAAGATGGCTTTCGTTTCTCCAGGTCAATTGCTGATGTACA